CCGGTCGACGGCTCCGGTTGGTTAGCTGCTCTCTTCTCTGATCAGTGGAGTGCCGCTGCCTGAATCGCCTCTCGAGTGCCGTAGTGAGGGCCTGGAGCTCATGCTGCTCTGCCGGGGCTAGGTCAAGGAGTATCTGCAGTGCATCTCCCTCTAATGCTAGTGCTAGGTGTGTAGCAGTCTCCTCTTCGCTCCAGCCACTATGTCTGGCGGCCAGCCGCACTTGTGAGAGGTAGGGCTCTAGCGGGGTTAGCCCGTTGTATTTCGGTACCTTAACTGGCGTGGTAGGCATAACTGCTCGTGGCTGGGGGCTCGGCGTGTGGATCGACAGAGGTAGCCCATGAAGCATTGCCCTAGCATCTGCCGCGACGGGCCGCCGCCGCAGTGCGCTCGCGCTATCGGGACCCGTCCGGGGACTTACTTGGCCGCTCACATCCTCTCTCTTCAATCACCGGTTTCCCAAGTGGGGAATGTTCTCCTCGACAGCTTGCTCCAGCCTCTGAATGTCTCTCTCCATTACGGCGAGGGTGAGCTATCCCACTTCTGACACCAATTTGGCGAGCTCAGACAAGGAGGAGACGGAGGTATCGTTTGGTCTTGCTTCCCGTGAGCTAGCCAGGGAGCACAGCCGTTTATTAACATTTGCAGAAGAACACTGCCGCTAGCTAACTGCTCAGCGCGGCAACAACAACAACACCCAGGGCGCCCTCTGACCCCGGAAGGACACACCTTCGCAGCGAGAGGGCGTCACCCGTCACTATGGCAACATAAACAAACAGAACTGTACACACAGAACCCCGAACAGCCCTGACCCGCTACAATATTTAATATTAATATGAGGCCTAATGAGCGTGACAAAATGGCACAGCAATTTTCTCTTTAAGATTTTCTTCAGTGTCTTATAATTTTTTTTAGTCTCAAATGTGACCTTCAGAGAACATCCTTAAGCCAACTAGAGTTCATATATGTGTTATAAAAAGTCCCTGTCTGTACCTTTGCTCTATACCTTTTTGTATCATTACAAGAATAGAAACACGCTGATATGAACTGCAGCAAAAGCACTGCATTACCACAGGCTGCACGTGTACTATCACGTACACGTAAGATAATTGAACCAGGCTGCCTGTCGTTTTATGAGCAATGCTTTACAGTAAAAGAAAAGGTAAATAAATAAATAATGTAGCTCATCCTATTTTAACAAACAAAGTTCACTCCGAGTGTATTTCATCCCCCCCTCACATGAGTTTCTGTGGTAGACAGCGTGTGGCTTTGTAAGCATCGCTGCTGAAAATATGTGTTAACTCTAGTGCTCATTCAAACCACATTCTTTATCACTGTCCAAACAAAACAGGTCAGTCTCAGATGTTGAGGCTCTGCGAAGAAACAGACAGGAAATGGTGGGCGAGTGCTGAGGAGCTGAAGGGGCCACAGCTTGCAGCGGCTTATCATGTCTGTTCAGTTGAAAGTAAACTGAGCATGAGATGGAAATAGTGTAACAACTATGCGCCATCTGACCTTCATGGATAAACGCAAAATTACACTAAAAGCCCTTTTTTTAAAAAGAAGGAAAAAAAAGGTGCTTTCTTTGTTTCATATTCAGAAAAATTTACTCTGAAATGAAGTCATCATAACAGGATTATGTAAGTACAGTAGGTAATTTGTAAGCAATATGAATATTAGCTACACTAACGATATATAATACAGACATGACGAGCTTTTGCCAGAAACCTTTTATGTTTAGATTGGCGACCTGTTCTGTCGTTTATCCTGATAAAAAATAAGCGGAAGAGAATGGATAGATGGATGGAATAATCCAAGAATAGATGGATGAAACCTAAAGAATGACAAGGAAATGTGAAAATGTGACATTCAACTCTGTGAGGTTGCAAACTTTGCCTTGATCTAAATTTGTTCGCATGCAAAAAATCTACCTAGTTTACCATCTTAGTCAGCAGTTCTTTGGTTTTTACTGGCATGCAACACCGTGTACTGCTGATGCAATGCCAATGAATGGTGGGTGAGTTTGGTAGGTATGTGGTCGGAAAACAAAGAATAAGATTAACTGAAACAGATGCCACCAATTATGAGAATTGATATTCATTCTTTTTTCAAAGTATTGAGCTTTATGTCAAATAGATTTTTACACCTGTTAGTATAGTAATTTTAAAAAAAAAGAACCTGCTGGAAAAGTCAGCAGTGGCTAATAATTATTGGGATTATTGAGCACAAACTTTTATGAAAGATTTCAGTTTTGTATGTGACATTTGTCTTAATTAGTTGAGCTTGACTCAAACATTGTTATATAACTATGTCAGTAATTCCGTGTTAAGCCTTTCGTTTATAACCCCATTTTTTTTCAATAGCATAACATCTTTAAATATTATTGTTTGAAGCCTGTAGTTTTTAGGCGTATACGAGACAATTCAGCACAAAGAGTCTGTGTATGTGTGAAGTTGTAAAATTAGTAATTTGTGGGTGTTTTCTTGTGCTAATCCAAATGTATGCAGTTGTTTTTTGACAGCTGACGATGCCTTATTGACGTAAAAATTTTGCATTGTGGATTACAGTTCAGTGCAGTGAAGGATCAGTTTGTTCCATAATCCAGTTTGCACAGTGCTTAATTGAACAAACCAGAAATCGAGAGCACAAGAGATTTACATTGTACATAAGATATTTGAGTGGACATAACAGTTTTTATCAACCAAAATTTATTTAACTAATTTGTTATCTATTAACTCATATTACTGTTATATTATTCTTTCACTTTCCTGGTTCACGATGTACAGAATTTTGTAATACAATATGGTAAAGTAAGCCAAACAGCCTGGTAAGACTATGAAGTCATTAAAAAATGATGGTGCTAATACGCAGATCAGTCTGAACAGTGATATAAGCAATTTCGGACAGATGCGGCCAAGGCAAAATGGGATTGAATATCTGCTTTAATATATTTTAGGCCAGTGTTGATTCATTTATGCACAAAGAGAAAATGTACACCTCAACAATTGAGTTTCAATGTACAAGCTGGAATGTGGAACAAACCGGTGCTTCGGTGCGCTTAACAGTTTACACGTTTTCATTCAATCTGCCATCAAACATTTACATTTGCATTTCTTATTATACAATTTTCAAAGCTATACTTACATATACATACAAAAACCACTAAGTCATTTTCAAAGTTCAAAGAGCAACATTTAAAACTCACACCTTTACCATTTTTTTCTTTTCCCGGAACGACTTTGTTCATGTAGATATACTCCTCATCAGCACCTGTAAACAGAGACAGCAGAAGGTGATTAACTGCTGACAGCAGTGCACTTTTGCATAGATGTTTTTGCTCTGTGGTTAGCTACCACAAACACCTTTATTGAATTTAAGCAAACCTTACAAAACAACAAACACAAATGCCAAGAAAATATGAGCTTATGCACAGGTATTTTTGTCTTTTTTACTGTTTAACGCTTGCTTTGAATTCCCAAAGTAGATTTTTTTTGATTTGGTTGAATATATTCACAATGTGACTTAACTGCAAACGATAACACGGAAAGAATGCATATTTTGCTTTCCCTTGAGACAGCTGATGGGAAAATCTGATTCCACCTTGGTGCAAAACAAACTTCCATCGTGCTTGTCAAAAAGAAGTCCAGGATAAAAGGGAAACTTCACCCAAACAAGTAGTCCATTGTGCACATAGATAGGGCCACTATTCACACCCACTCTTACCGTGGCAAGCATTCATCAGGCATTAGTCTCCTTGCCTGCACAGATACAGCACTGTGTCACGTCTGTAGCGGAAGTTTTACATTGCTTTTTAATATACAAGGCAACTCCTGAACTTAATCCACCTGTTCATAACAATCATGCATTCACAAAAACTTTGCATTTGACTCTAAAAGTGATCCATTTTCTGTTTCTTTTGCATGGTTAGAGGAGCTGATCATAACCAGACTAAGGAACTAAAGGATGAACTTGACTTCACTTGCACTCAACTCTTCAGGCAAAAAGTGGAGATGATGAAACCTTCTGACATACATCAATGCTAGAGTCAGCGAGGAAAGGACTACAGCTGGAGTCATGTCACTCTCAACATGGTGGAGTAATTACAAGCTGGTGAGGACATCGCCATAACATTGCCACACAAACAGTCTGAAGAAAGGCCTTTTCTTGAACAATAAACACAGAGGTTGTGGCTACGAAGGCTCCAGTTGGTTACTGTAACCTGTTATGGGAATTTGTTCCGGAGCTGCAGCACAGTTTTTCACTGGAATTAAATATTTTAGCTGACTTAGATTAGAGGAAATCAAACAAAACTCTAACCTTGGGTGATACTGCGGAGAAGGGCTTCTCCTTTGAAATAGATATCATGAGGTGAAACCAAACAGCAGCAGCATAAAATGATGTTTTGCCTGTACAGTGAAAACAGATTTTCGGGGAACAAAGTTGAAATGCTATTTATAAATTGCTGCTCAGAGGAAGTGAGCATCCCCAGAGGATAAATGCAGCTTCGGAAAAATGATACAGCTTGGAGCCAGAAGAGGAAGTACGGAGAGACGAGTCCAAGACCTGAACATGGAAAAGCTTGACTGCTGGTGTGTGTTAGTGAACAGTGTGAGAGCTCTCTGAGAAAAACAGGGCGAAAGAGAGTTGACTTTTAAAATCCAGAAGTGAGAAGGTGACAGCAAATGACAAAAATGGCAAAGAATCGGGGTCATTACAAAAACCAATCAACCAAACAAACAAAAAGTCATTATCATATTTGTGTCAAACTATTTTTGAGGTAGCGGTGGCATGTCATTAATTAGTTGCTTCAAAGATTAAGTAGCAGGCATAGAGCACCATAAATCACATCAGCCCAGCAGCAGTTGCAAGAAAAAAACTCATCTGAAGCTGTTTAAAAAGTTAACAAGTTAAGTTTTAGCTTGATTATAAACTGAAAATTGTAAAAAATTGCATGAAGCAAATAATTTTGCAACAGAGGGAGGAATGTAGTAAAGAAAAAAAGAGCAATCCTGCAGGCACAATGTGGCTTTAGCTACCAAAATTGAGATTAAGTGATGTTTTTGCAAAGCTTGCAGGGATATGATTATGAAAGGTTAGTAAGAGCTCAAAATAACAAAATAAAACCAGAGTAGGTGGTTTAATAACTTCTCCTAGGCCAGTTTCACTTAAGTGTGGGAAATGCAGGGAATGACCACATGTTACATAAGATACTTTGTTGGATGGCAGATTAACTGCCAGCCGGTCCATGCAGCTTTTGAATGAATTGAAACATTTGTGGTTAACCTTCAACCAGTGTTACAGTTTTAGATGCAAAAATCAAGAGAACAGTTTAAAGGTTTGTGACAAATTCTTCTACTGAAATTAACTTTTTTTTTTAAAAAAAAAGAAAAACCTAATAATGCACCAAACAACAAAACAAAACACTGCAACATTGTTGTAAGTGGATTTATGCATACTAATAGGCCAACTAGGAACACTTCCACAGCAACTTTAAAGTGAACCTTTCATACTTTTTAATTATTTCCTTTCACACACTTATGGTACAAAGAACATACACCCTCTATCAAGTTTTAACATAAAATCTAGACCCTAACATCAGGTCTTAAAATGAGCTAAATATAAGCTCAGATGAATAATAAAACATGACACATCACAGTGTGTCATTATTTATTTACTATAAGAAAAACTAAACCAAATTGCTGAAGCAGTGTGTGAAAAACTAAGCACATCCCATAATTTAATATGTTGTAGAACCATCAATAATGACGTGCTTATCAGTCTTTCACATCATTAAAGAGGAATTTTGAACTTCTCTTTTAAAACACTGGTTCACTTCATTGAGGTTTCCAGGCATTCATTTATGCACAGCTCTCTTACTTTGACTGCATCATTGCAACACTTTGATTCTTTTCTTTTTCAGTCATTCTGTTGTAGATTTACTCTTGTCCTTGGAATAATTTTTCTATTTCATGATCCAATTTCAGGCAAGCTGGTCGTACAGGTGGCCTCGCACTGGACTCTAGACTACTTTGGTGTACAGAGCTCATGGTTGACCCAGTGATGCAAGGTTCACAGGTCTTATGGCTGGAAAATCAACCTGAATCATTAACGTCCACCACCGTGCTTGACACTTGGTAATTATGACCTTGACATTAGGCGTTTGTGCTGATATGCTGGGTTTGATTTTTCCAACCGTGGTGCTGTGCACAATGGCCAAACATATTCACTTTGGTCTTGTCTGTCTAAAGGACATTGTTTCAGAAGTCTTGTGGTTTGTTCAGATGCAACTTTGCAAACCGAAGCCATGCTGTCATGATCTTTTTAGAGAGAAGAGGCTTTCTCTTGGCAACTATTCCAAAGAAGCCATACTTGTACAGTCTTTTTCTATTTGTACTGTCAAACTTTAACATTAACCATGCTAACTGAGGTCTGTAGAGTTTCTTGGGTTTTTTGTAGAATTTTATTACCTTGGGGTCCGACCACTAAAATGCCAAAACTTGATAAAAGTGCTCACACTTGCAGATAATCAGTTAATTAAAGTGTCTTTGATTAATAACACCTTGCTGCTACTTAATTCCTATCAAAGCAGTTAGGCTGTGCTTAGCTGTTTTAATGTGTTTTGGCTTATTTTTGTTAAAGATAATTACACAGTGGGATATATATGATGATTTTAGTTCATCTAGAGTTTGATCTAATTTTAGAACTTTAGTTTTACCAACACTGCACATCTACAGTTGCTCATGGTAGTGTTAAACATGACTAAATATAACCACGGTTAGACTTGTTTAGGTCATTTCTCACTTCAAATGTTACATGTAACATGTTTGCAGTAATTCTACTCTGCAGTTTGCTGTGAGTCAGCTAATTCTGCGGTTATTTAGACTTCACAGTATATCTAACCTCCCAATTACATACTGGGAAGAATAATTTTCTCTTCCTCTCATGAAATTTTCCTAAGGAAGTTATTATATTGTAGTTCAGTAACTGTATGTCTATGACTTGTTTGCACGCTTTCACTTCCGATTTGTTATTTTTTTAATCAAACATATCAAACTGATTTAAACTTTCCCCATAAAATATCCATGAAAATCAGTTCCTGAATAAATATGAAGTGAGAATTTGGTCATGCGGTTTCAGATTTGTATTTCTGTCTTCATCTGCTTTAAGTTTGAAGTTGTTTGGGCCGACATGTTAGACTATAGACAGATGTTATTTTATTATTACCACTCACAGTTTACTGACTTGTCTGGCACATATAAGTTAAACTCTAAGCAAGTAGGACAGTTTTTAAAAAAACTGTAGCTGGTTGCCTTGACCATGTCTCCAAGCCTGAATGCACTGAGCTACAGCCAAGTGATTGGCTGATTAGATATTGCCATTAACAAGTAGAAATTGTGTACCTAATGAAGTTGCTGTTGAGTGTATAGCAACTGTACTTTGAAAAGACGGGTGAATAATGGTCCACTGTTTCTGAAAAAGTGCTCTTACCAGTCGAAGCCCTGTAGGACTGGAGGAGATCAGACAGTAAACCCTTCTGGACGGTGGCGTTCCCACTCAGCGTCTCCTTGTCCAAGATGACCAAGAAGCGGTGGAGCTCCATCAGGAGCTGGTCCAGCACTGGAAGCACAGACAGACAAGAGGGGCTCAGATTTACAGTGGTATAAAAATTCCTTTAAATTTTATTACACTTTTCTTGGCAAGAAAATATTTAGAAGCATTAAGACAATGGCTTAAAACCAGGACTGTCAAAGTTCCCATCATCAAGAAAAGCAAGAGTCATGAGGGAAAACAAAGCCTGTAATCTTTCCAGACAGCCATTATCAGAATATTGTGCTTTAATTTATGGCAGAGAACTTGTTCAACTTAGGGATTTGTCTTTTAACACTGATTTCAGTTCTTAGTTTAGCAGCTATTCCTTTCCCACTGACTTCCTTTTGTTCCTCAAGTTGTTTGCTGGTTGCCAGCATTTTGCATGGGAGAGACTCCTCTGAGGTTTTTCACTGGCAACAGCTGATAACCACTCAGACTTCATTTCTCATTCTCATTCCTCTCATCGAGCTGTTATTGACAGTTGCAAGTCCGTTTGAGGTTGTTTTGGGAGTTTAGCTAAAGGTCAAGCTCAGAGTAGGGAGGAGCCTAGGCTGGTGTCGGCGGGGCCAGTGTGTCTGGGTGCAGCCCACACACATCCTTCAGGGGTCAGCGCTGAGCTCAGAGTCCTCTCTGCTGTGTGGGGAGCTCTTTGTGTTTTCCTTCACTGTCTCTTGGCCTCATGAATAGGCCCCTTGCTACAGTGGGCCTCAGTGTGTGAGCACTTCAAGAGAAGAGACGGGGGAGGAAATAAAGAAGAAAGACCTTTTTTTAAAGAGAAGGTGGGGCAGGTAGTGGTGGTTGGGGGATAGGGATGCGTAATTATTCCTGACATTTTTTTAAAGCATATTTTCTGTTAATTTTCTAAAAAATGATTAATTAATCCATTTTACATGAATTGCAAGCACATATAGCTTTATTATAGGAGCATATTCTGATGTTTGACCATCAAATTCATCCGCTCCTCTGAGCTGACTGTTGGCCCAATGGCTGATGAAAAATGATGATTAGCCAATCACTGCCAGAGGCGGGATTAACACTACTTTTAAGTTGCTTTGAAGATGCGGACTAACATTAGAGTTGTGTGATACTTATTTACTTGGTATCAAGCTGGCAGCATGTCAGTACATTGCCAATACAGATATTATATTATACCTATAAATGTAAAATATAAAAATTTAAACCTATTCTGAACAAATTTTAATGACCACTAAATTACTGTGATTTTTACTTTCCAAAAAAAGTTAACACAACATAACACATCTTTCACTGAGTGTAAATATGCTTGTCTCTAACTTTGGGGCAGCTCTGTTGTTTAAATGTGCTATAGGCTATAAATGAAAGACACAAAAAGTTTAAAAAAAAATTAACAGTGCATGATTGGGGTATATGTTTGAATTTCCAAAGTATAGACCCTATTGTGCTAGAATCAGTCTGATACCAATTGGTATCGATACCATCGATATCTGGATCGATCCGCCCACCTCTACATTAAGCACTCCTGAGGCATGGGTACTAAATAATAATGGACGAACACACTGAGCTGTTTTGACTTTGCACTGCCCCACTCTTAAAATGAGATAAGATTCAAGTTGATACATGGGTATTGTGACTGGTTAGGGAAAATCAAATCTTCTTCCTCAGGAATCCGTTCGAGTGGACATAATGTTAGACTAAAAATGGAAACTGAGTTTTCAAGTTGGCACTCCTGCCTGGTACCCAAGGGCAGACTTTAAAATTGTCATGAAACTGAATCTATTCTTTCCTGTTCATGGACATAAACAGTACTTCTCCAAACTGAAAGGGAAACAAAATTTGCCTCAGGAGGCAGGAAGTGGCAGAAGAACAGTTCTAATCCCACACAGGACCACTGTGACTTTCCTTGGTATTAATTTTACACTTGAAGATGACCTTACATTCATCATTTAACATACAATTTCACTCACATCTAATACCGTTCAACAAGGATCATGTGTTAAAATACGTATATATATATATATATATATAATATTATATTATAATTATATATATATATATATAATTTTAATCGGACTTGGTGTGTGTGTGTGTGTGTGTGTGTGGTGTGTGTGTGTGTGGTGTGTTGCAGGTAGAAACATCATTCCAACTGAAATAGATTTGCTTTCATTAAGACTGGCCGTACATTAACAGATACACACTGCTGTAAATGAAAAACTGGTAAGAAAAAAACGAAAACAAAACCACCAATATTGTGTCAAAATCATCTGACTCTACTTAAAACCTCAACTCTGCCCCACATAAAATGACAGTAAGTTGCCTTTTTTGTTGTTTATTCTCTATTAAAACTGTCAGCTCTCATTTTTTAATAGCTCCTTCCGTCTCAAACTGATTACTTAGTGGTATGTGTCAGCAATCTATTGAGTGCAATCATTCCCTCTGCTCTGTTTGCTACTCTCCCATACATGGCTAAACTTTTGAAAAAGGGGGGAACATTTTGCAGCGTAAGGTATCAGGCCCGGGTAAGTTTTGCCTTTCGGAAACGGCAAGAAGCTTTCCAAAAGCTACAGCACGCTAGGCTGTTTTTTGATGACTCTAACTCAAGCTGAGTCAACTTCTGCTGAGAGGCACCATGGAAAACATCACTGTATTGGACACATATAGATACACACATACACTGCTCTTTGTCTCAAAGCATTAGAGAAATGATTTAAACCGCAGTCATTACAATTTTCAGTGTTTAGCTACTGATGTATGCCTGGTGAATATGAATCTAAGCATTTTTCCTGCTCCTTCTTCTTGTGTGTTTGCAGAGATTGACTCAGATGGCCTTTTGGATTGGGGACCCTGGGAAACAAAGTCAGCTGACAGGACAGGGAGGTCTGCAGCAGCCTGTCTCTGTGGGTTTTGGGTTGGCCAGACGCCCACTAAACATCCAGTTAAGGTCCGCAGCCTCCACAGTATAAACAATTCACTTTTGCAGAATAGCCAAAAGGAATCTGAATCAGAGAGGAATACTACTACTACAGTGATTTGTAACTGCTGCAGTTAAAACAGAGTAAACAGGGTACATAAGAATGAACTTGCTTTGCTTGAATTAAAACTTTCCAAACACCTACGCGATGTGATCTTGGATTTTCTCTTCCCCCTGCCTGATTTTGGACTTCCAGATTTGTGTTATGAACACAGTACATGACCATTTTTTGTCTGACTTCTCCCACACTACGCTTATCAAACACTTTACTGTGTTTGATAAGCACTCTTGTGCATTGTCAGGCAAATAAGTATCTATTTGCAGTGACGGTAAAGTTTCATAAAAGGTTTCCTGCAATTGTTGGCTAAAGCTTTTTACATTATCCTGACTGTCAATAAAGAAGGTTAATTTTTTTATTTTAAAGCAAATATTAACAAAAAATATCTTCCTTTTTTAACGAGCCATCCAAAATTATGAATCGTTTTGCAGTATGTGCAATTATGCCCATGTTTTTTTTCTTTTAGACAGCCACTGTGAACTGGTCTTAACCTTTCGTCTTCTGGTTAGGCAGGTTTCCCAAAGTTTAACTAAAGATAAACAAACAAAACACTGAGACAGTATAGTGTCTCTGCTCTGCAAAAACTACCTAAAATGTTAGTTTAGCTTGTTAGAAATAGAAAAAAGCACAAGCTTAGGTTCCACTGAAAAAGGACTTTTTGTTTCAGAAGTCTGGCAGATTGAGGAAGCTTGAGGTCCTGCATCAACTCTGACAGACTGCATTTAATTTTCTTAAATTAACAAAGCACACGTGGAATCTCATTTTAGCTGCTTTGAGGCTAAATCGAGTTGTTGATGCATTTTTCACATACACTTAGAGGATTAGGCTTAGAAAATATGCTGCGCTAATGTAATTTGACAAGAATCTAATTGGCCTTGCCTTCAAGTGTGGTCTCAAAACAGCAAGAGGGACCTGCAAGAGTAATGAGTGCTTCAAACAAGACTCCAGTCCAAAGGAGAGGTCAGCATTTTGCTTGAATGTTGAACAGTCACATGTGTTCAAACATTCTTTTGCCATCTCTTTCTTTTCTTTTTTCAAATGTGTGTTTTCTCCTCTCTTTTTCTCGTATCCAAATCAAACTCGCCCCGTTTAAAACTTTCTTTTCATCTGTACATCATCTCCCTCCCATCTGCCCTACTTTTAAAACAACTCTTAGCATACTAATTTATGCTCCAGGAAATATCCTGGGCTCCACTGATGCAATATTTGTGCTGCTTCCAAGCATGTTTATGATGACTTTGATCAGCGGTGAATAATATCAACAGTGGCGGAGAGTTAAAGAAAACATAAACAAGTCGAAATGCGAAATTATCATTTTTGCTTCAGATTGATGATGCAACCGAGGCCGCTTCAGTGCAACCCGGCTATATGTATTCCTGCTTGTTCAGCTTGGAGCTGCTGGTAAAGGTCTGTTTGGGACACTTCCTTTAGTCTCTGAATCACAGTCATATTTTTGGGATGTGGTGCAGATGTTGAAAATAGTTGCAGATGTGCTTGCTTTGCTTTTCTCGAGTCTAAAATGTGCTATTGGACTTTTATATAACAGATTCTGACTGTGGAGATCTTTCCTTATATCTGCTCATTTATGCACCTGTTTAACTCAAGTACGGTTGTGAAAAAACAAACAAACTACACCATGTGTGAAAAATAACTGCACCTTTGCTGCATCAACAGGAAGGCACAGCAGTAGGGTCAGTAGCAGCCTGCTAGAGTGCTAAATGCACTTGAGTAATTGATCATTTGATTAATTGAAGTTTGCTATATAAGCACAGGCAGAGCAGGTTATCGGAAGGTTGGTGGTTGGAGCTGTTTGCTCCATGCTGCATGCCAAAGTATCCTTGGGCAAGATGTTAATCCAAAGTTGCTCTCCAATGCTTCCTTTGGAGTGTGAATCTGTCTGAATGTTAGACAGAATGCACTTAAGCATAGAAAAAAAGATCTTTTATGAATTGCTGTGAATGGATAACTTTGTATATAAGTGTTGTGTAACTTTGAGTGCTCAGGTAGAGATGAAAAGCACTACATAAAAACCAGTCCATCTACCATCCGCAGGACTGGACATCCCAGCAAACTTAGTCCAAGGTCAGACCAAGATATGTTCAAAGGAACTAGAAAAAACCCCAAATTCACTCTCAGTCAGCAGGATAAAGTTCATAACAGTGCATTAGAAGAAGACTGAACAAGTAGACACCGGAACGTTGTTTCTGTTTATCTGGATGTAGCGTGTTGAGTGGGAGAAACGTTTCATCGCTCATCCCAGTGACTTATTCAGTCTAAGCTGAACAAGTACGGTTTATATTTGCACAGTTGCAACAGACCAAGCATTTCAGCACAAACACCTCATAACAACTGACGAACACTGTGGTGGAGGTGCGATGAGCTTGTTTTACACCCACAGGACCTACCTTTGCATCCACCTTGCATTCACTGAGTTAACAATGAACTCCTCTGTATACCAAAGTATTCTAGAGTCAAATGTGAGGCCATCTATCCAACAGCTACGACTGGGCTCGAATGACATAATGCAACATGGAAGTGCAATGGCCCACTAAAGGCTACCCTGGCCCAGTTAAAATGTGGCAGGAGCATAAGCGAGGTGTGCACCAACAAATACGCACAAACTTTAATGAACTGAAGCAATGCTGGAAAGAAGAGTGAGGCACATTCCTCCTCAAGATGCGAGAGACTGATAGCATCACACAGAAAAGGGCTCAAGTTCAACAGTGTAATATGTCATGTGTTGTTTTTCATTTGAGTTTGTATTTACTAGACTACAGAATGTTCTGATGCATAAAACCTTAGAAGTGAAAGAGGGTGCGCTTTCTTTTTTCCACATGAGTCTACATCCATCTCACCCAGCGTTTACTCATCCATTTACCACACCATTAGATTTGAAATCCAGAGGTGTATCTTCTTTATCTGATTTGTTTTTAAGATCACAACGTATTTAGCAGGAAGAAGAGTCTCACCACAGCAGGTGTGACCGTTTCTCCCGACATATTTTATGACTCACACTCACACTATGCACTCTACTAATGACATGTCACACAAAACACCAGAGATAAAACTGATTAAAAATAAAATAAATCCATGTTCAACAAGTTCAGTAAGCCAAATTGTGATTTCTTGCTTGTTACTGGAATGAACGATCAATCAACCAATCAAGACTTGATCTCTATGAATTGGTAAACACAAACAGCAAAGAAGTTCAATCCATGACAAACATGAATATATGACATTAAATATTACAGATATGAAAAAGAGCTTATAAACTTACATAAATCCATTTTAGAGGATCGCTCTATTTTGGAAAAATCTAGTAAAAACTAATTTGCATGAAATGACACCAAACGCCGGCTCGATGATCTGATTAGCCTTGTGACTGACACTTACAGAGCTACGACTCCCAAAAGGGAAGTGGTGGCAAGAAGGAGAATTGGAACCAGTAGCCAAAGTCACAGTAAAAACGTTTGGACTGTAATGTGCTTTTCGCCCTGTCACACACTTAAAAGTGCTTCTGCTCCACTAGACACGAAAAAACGACTGAAGCAGAGCTGATTTGTATCAGGCGAAAAATGTGCACAACTGGAAAAAAAACCCCCAAAAAACCAAAGAGCTGCATGTGATTGATTTGTTCCAGGCTGCTCTTTCTTTGGTGAGAGTGGCAGATAATTCACTGATGAATAAAGGATCAAACAACAATTTGATTGGTGTTTCATCCAAATTGGCAGGTGCACGTTTTTTTCTATGTGAAACATGCTGGGTTCAGCTGTTGGACAGAGACTGCGACCGACATGGCTGGATTAATCCAAGCTGTGTTGTGGTGTTATTTCCATAGAAACCACAGAAGAGAAAGAAGGAGTTGACTTGATGAATTCAGAAAAAAAAGGGGGCTGTAAATGTCTGATAGCAACACTGAAGGACAAAGAGAGAAATGAAAAGTTGTATTAACAAATCAGTGCCAACCTGAGGCACACAAAAATATGACTGGTGATATCGTACAGCCTTACTAGCCCTCCCTGAGATGCCTAATGGACTAGCACATGATAAATAAATGCATTTTTGGAACTTACAACCTTTTATTCACTCTTAGCTGTCACCTTGTCCCATGAAAAAGATGCGTTAAGTATTCTCCAGGTTAAAAGCAAGCCATCACAGGTCTATGCAGCGTACCATTATGCCAAAATGCCTTTGAATTTCAGCATAAAGTCAATGTACAAAGAACAAACCTCACCTCTGAGAGCAAATATTGTGTTTTATCTGGACCATATATCTAAAAACGGGACGCCGAAAGAACACAAAAAGTCTTTGCACCTACATATAGTCACAACATAATAAGAACACACAAAGGAATAGCGAAGATCACCAGTGATTACAAGTTCCTACGTTAGCATGTAGCAGTGTTCAAAAACCACTGAGATGTGGGGTTTTTTGTTTTTTCACATCCTAGTCACTTCCGTCACTGCTCATTGCACGGTGAGGCCATGGAGACCAGTAGTTGTGGGTTTTAATTCTGTGTAATGCAAAGCTAACTACCCAGAAGGACTGACTACAGTAGCACTTTCAGGTCCAAGGACTTGTTTCAAAGTACTGAATGAGATGAAAGCAAAATACAAAAAAAACAAGCCTATTCATACCGAGCCTTGTTACTACAAGCTGGTCTTGTAGCGACATGTTTTGGTCGTCAGGCTCAACACATTTTGCTACTTGTCACATATGTAAATTTAAATAATTTGGAAGCGACTGGATTTTGTTCAAAAAGTCTCTGTTTGGCTGTTCATCATCATAATTTCTATGTTTTCTTCAGCAATACAAAATATAAAACATGGTTCAATTTAAAGTGCTCCAAAAATAATCTGCAGCAGTCTCATTTTCTGATAAGGTGATAGAGGTTGAGGAAGAGTTTTGCAGAGGAATTGATAAAAATGTAAGGCTTGAGAGCGTTCAGCAGTCTTATTATAGCCAAGAGCCCAAATAGTCGATTGATTTGAACACTGCAGCATGTTGTTGCACTACACACACACACACCCCTCTCTAAAAAAAACAGGAACAGATCAGTGAAATCAGCTCCCAAGTCTTTGATAGAAACAAAAACCTGAAGTCATGACTGCTCACAATGGAGAACTATTTGTTTTGGTATTTTTTTCCTTTCGTTTTGGAGGATAAAAATAACAGCATGAACAAGGAAGGAGGAACAACCTGCAAAGAAACAGTGTCATATAATTAAGAAGGTAAAAGAGAGTGGGCACGGCATGGGCGAATGACAACATAAGACTCTGAGCTGAAGAAGAATTCGCACAAAGCTCACAAGGGCAAACTCTCCATGCTGACCCTCCCATTGAGGTGTTAAACTATAAGGATGAAAGAAGTTATAAAGAAGCCACTTATCAAGAGTCATTCCACTTTCTTTTTCAAGTGTCTCCTCTTTCATCTTCCCTCTGCCCAAACTATTGAATCTTGCCTTTATTCGAATCACGCTTCAACTTTCTTTACACTCTTTTCTTTTCTTTTTTTTTTGGCGGTCTTTCTTTAGATCTGTGCCATCTCATTTATATTGAGGCTTACATCTGAGCCCTTGGAGAAATCAGGCAGTTTTTCCACTGCTGAAGCATGCTAATGGCCTCTAAAAGCCCAAGTAAATCTTTGTTGATTTTAGGAAGAGGCCTTGCTCTGCTTACAGAATTTTGTCTTGATTAGGATTCAATGCAGGTTACAGTAGACAGTGCAGATAAACGCCAAAGCTGAAGAGTCGACTCGTCGGATTAAAGATGTGATGCTGCAAATTTGTGTCTGTGAGGCTGCGTATACATGAGATTCGGGGAGAAAATAAAAACGATGCCGAAATCTGGCTCATCGCTGAAGCTTAGTGTCTGAGTTGTTGGCTTAATTTGACATTTTTAATGCGCTGGAATTTTAATAATGCTCAGAAATTATAATATAAACAGAGACTAATGATTCAAAACACCATCTTCTAAGCTGCTCTAATCATGATTTAATCAACAGTGGATCCATTGAAGGGGTTGCTTCAAGTGCAAACCTAAGGATAAATCTGCCTAGACACTGCTGTCTCCCTCTCCTTGCTAAGCATGCAACAGTAGATGGGCCAAAGCATAGCTAGCTAATTAACAAATACCTAGTAAATAGGCTAAATTCAGCCTAGAATTACATTCTCCAGGCAGCCAAAAATTACATTAACTTTGTACCATAAGACTTGCTCCAAAACAAACTTTCTCCTTGCCTTTGGCCTTTCTCACAAACACACTCAGAGATGAAATATCTGTCAGCCCCTGGGCCATAAGGCAGAGGAGGCTCAGTGAGGTTCCACATCCCCTTCTTAATCCACCATCCCGCCTGCATCCTTCACTCAAACCCCCTCACTGCTTCCCCTCAGACGCTTTCCTCACACCGCCGTTCTCTGGTGTGATGTGTGTGTGCATGTATGTAACACTTTGTGTGGCTTTTAAGTGAGTAGCGCTAAACTGATTAATTCAGAAAAAAAGACAAAGCTTTAAGAATGTGTCAAACTTCTTGACTCAATGATACAAAAAAAAGTGACAGCCTAGAAGCGGCAATTCCCAGCCTCAGTCCAGCCACATTAAAGTTTCTCCGCTTAGTTAAATATCCCACAGAAAGGCTGCCAAGAAGGCCTTCGTGGAGAGACTGTGCATATGAGTGTGTGATTACAAGTGTACCTTCTCCAACAAAAGTGTACCTGGTGAGAAGCAAACAAAGTACAGGTTGATCCAGAGCTGGATCCATAAACCAAAGACACGTTTGATGTGTTAAAAATGGGCGAGAGTGCAAGCCAGAGGGCAAAAAGAGCCAAACTCACACAGAACAGGAAGACCGCCTTTCTTTTCATCATTTTTATAGCCTCATCCAGCTTCCTGAATTACCCACACTTCACTCACTCCCCGTTGGCAAGTTCATCCCATGACACACATACGAGTGAACCAGGAGACCCCATGCCAGCTCTAATGGTCTACATCTAAGCAAGCTACTGCTGAGCTGATAGCAGGTCAAACCCACTAGACCCACTGACAGTTTCATATTGTTAAGCTGCGCTGAAAAGCACCTTAAATTGATTGGCATGATCTGTGCTGACAGACTGAAGAGCATGCTAATATGGTGATACCGGCTTAAAAAGACATTTAGGAGGGGATCGGTGCCTTTTGGATTTGTAAAACTGTTCAAAAAACAATATGTGAATTAAGGTCAATGAATTTTTTTATTTCCAACTCCATCCCTTCCTTTCATTTGATAAATTATGGGATTTTGAACTTGAAGATGTTTTCATGGTTTGGCGTTTGTGGCACTGTAATAAAAAGTGTGCCATTACTGGCATACACAGATTAAGAAAAGTGAAAATAGCTTTTCAGCATTTAGTGGTTTGTGCACAGCGTCTTTCACTGCAGCCACACACAGCACACAAATACTTATGGTTAAAAATACATTAGATTTGGTCACTACTGTGTTATACAAGCACTCGTTGTTGAATTGAGCAAAATGACCACAAATGATATTAATGGGTTCTCATTTGGTAAATGAGGGACTTCTTGACTAAACATTGCACCTGTTTGAACACCAATATGACTGTGCTGTGGGTCCAAATCCTACAGCTACCTGTGCCTTTAGGGGTGCCTTTGCTCCAGCTTGTAGAGGGCTCTCCACTAATTTCACCTAAATATCACTTCACTCGCATGGCAGCACATTCTTGTTTTACTGCAAACTTTTAAAACTTTTAAAAACTATGCTCCACCACTCCTCAGATTCACACAGTTTCAATCTGTGAGTCTTCTGCATAATCTTCTAAACCAACAATGTCCACAAGCACATCTTTCAGCATGCCTCCATTTTACTTGCATATTCTTTTGGAACTGCTCACAGAGGCAGATCACTGCTGGAGAAGAAGACTGATGGCTGAGGCGAGAAAAGAAGCCGTCGCCTTTATGGGTGAAACGCAGCTGTGAAGAACTGGAAGACAGGCATATGTAGCATATAGCTTTAGGCACAAATTGCTGGGATCCATATTAGCATGGAAGGCTAAATAAACAAGGGCATTAGGTGGAAGCCGTTGATTGACAAGGAAATGAAGATAATAAATACTGGAAAGGATCTTAGATGAAAATAAACATATGCTTCTATTCCCATTATGGGAACATTTAGTGGAATTACACTTTAATTATTTCTATAGTTCCACTTGTATATTATGAATGTATAATTTCTATGTCAAGCCAATACTATGAAAATATGAGGGTGTCTAAGGACTTCATCCATTTATCAGCTGATAAAGACACAGTTAACAAGACATCTGGTATCAGTAAGTAATCTGTGAAAAAAGAGGACTGTATAACTATTTCGACCGCTCTGATTATTTAATATTTTGTGGGCTAAAACACCATCATGTGGGTTTTAATCAGGTGCAGGGCAAAGCGAGCTCAGGGCCAATGGCTGAGTAAGAAGGGCTCTAAGCGTCTCTTGGCTGAGCTGCAGAAGTGTGCGTTCTCTTTTGTAATAATCGATTCCCAAATATGTCTCACGACAGCCCAGAGGTCATGGAAATCAAACAAAGCTCCAGGTGGCTGAACTAATTCGATCCTCATCTCTGGCACAAGGTGTGAGAATCAGTGGCATGAGCTGCTGGGCTGCTTCTCTGGAAGAAAACCGGCACGAGTCAGATTTCAGAAGCACGAAACATTTCCAGAATACTAAATAATACCTTTCCTTGTCATTGGCCTCCCTGAATTTTCCCAGGTTTCCCTTTACTGTACCCCCTCCAATGGTTGCCTGTGGCTGTTAGTATCTAATTCATTGTCCTAGTGCGCTGCCAAAAGAGGTGCAGTCCAGCTTTTTTTCCATTTTTTCAGCCTGAACACACCGACTCATTCTCTGCAGCCTGTTTCTTACCCTCCCAATTCTGCCCTTCTCTAATCAATTACATCCCCACTGCAAGTCTGTTGCCCCTGCCTCCCCTTCATTGCTGACTCATAATTCATCGAATCATTGGCATTTTAAACACCTTTATCCCCTATCAGGATGACCTGATAGGCATCAAATGAAAGTGGTGCAAATCTCACTTCTTACTACTTTTAAAACCACTGACACACACACAGCAGGCGGTGAAGTGAGCAACGTGGCTCCCCTGGTGGACGATCGCTGTAATATCATCGGTCCTAAAACATGACAACATCACTGTTTGTTTCATGAGGGCGACGGATGTTATTACATGTTATTACGTGTTATTATATCATTGATGTTTTTGTCATTGTCAAATAATCTGTCATAATCTTGGGAGGAATGGCGTGTAACAAAAGAGAGGAAAATTCCTCCGAGCCCAATAAAAACATTTCCAGATATATCTGTGTTCAGCTAAGACAAAAACAAACATAAGGGATATGTGAAAAGAAAAGAAAAAAATCAGTCAAAAGCCTCAGCTGGTATTCTCCCACAGTGGGTGAAAAATGCACATACGCATAAAACACCTCTGTAAGTGGCTGCTTGAAACACTGACTGTGTAATCTGATGGGCTGTGGGAGTTAGCAGTCTGGGCTCACCAGTCAGCTGGTAAACGGGAATGTGGGAGCAAGACTTTTTTGACTAGTTGCCATTGTTTCTACTCCAGCCAGGAGTCGGACAGTCACTCCTCTCAGCAGTGCAGAGGTCCAAAGAGCGATGTTTTTTTTTTCTTTTGCAGTTAGGCAAGCGAGGTGAGATTCACCTAACTTTATTTTAAACTCTGATTGTGTTAATCAGGAAGCATTAAAACGACCTTGCTCATCCCCTCGCGAGCAAATAACCACAGGAATTTGAGGAATGCTGTGAGAACGATGTTGCAGCTAATGGAATTCATCAGAAGCCACAGTGTAAACAATTTTATGGAACCCAACTTTGAATGGTCGTGGAAAAGCCATCTTCGTGTCCCGGGTTATTTTGGTTACATCCTTAATGAGTGGCAGGTGACCGACAGTTAAATGATCCACATGTTGAAAACAGTGTGTTATTCCAGCACAGCAGAACAGAACAAGCACAACCGAAACAACTTTTATCTGAAGATGCTTTTCTTAATCTTTCATTTCGAAAGTATATAAAGTCACAGCAGTAGATTCTCCCATGTAAAAACCCGAGTAATTATTCACCGCAAGCCTGTTTTTGTCTACCCTGCGTGTTGCACAGTACCACTTTTTATTACAACTGTTTAAAATATATGCATAAAGAGATAGTTCGCAAGAAAGCAGTGTCACCAATCCCACCCGAGAAGTCAGCAGCCCTTTCTCATGTTCTTGACACAAAACCTCTCCTCTTACCTTTGTGCTTCTCCATTCGCTCGCCCCTTCAGCTCTCATAAAACGAATCAATCCCAACGAAACTTTGCGGCCAAGTTCCTCAATGATGGCACTACTTCTGCAACTAATGCGGAATGTAGCCCGACCCTCCCGTTTTCAACAATACACTGACTGAGCCGGACACGCTGAGTTGTGACGGAACAACAGCGCTCTCCTCTTGTTCCTCATCTCTCTTTTTTGCCACACCTCCTCCACCTCCAAGTTTGCAGCATCCAGACAGAGACTACGTCGCTGCTTCAAGACCATCATCCAGGTGTCACTCAAACATCCACGCCCGTAGACTTTCAGTGACAAACTGGGGGAATGAGCTGTCTTTAAGGACATTTAAATGCGTGCGCTAAAGTGGAAACTAAAGGGAAGTCTGCGTATCCAGAAGCTCATTTTATCTGTTTCTCTGCTGTGCTTCAGTTGCCTATCTTGGGTCGAATAAAAGGCTAATGCTAAAGAGAGGAACCCTGTTTCATGTCAATTTATTATGTTTTTGCCGTAACATAACAAATCCTCAGGCAAACACCAGAAATCCTCCAAATCCAGAAAGGGAGAAACTGCTGTTTACCAAATCTTGGATTGGCATCCTTGACTGCTAATAAGCACTCACATGAAAGTGAGTTCCTGTCGCCTTCCAGCTCTCTCGTTCTCTCCTGCAGCAGAAAAGTGAAGTTCTCTGCCTAAACAATCGAGAATCCCCGTGGGAGAACCGTGACCGGGTGGAAGTATGGGAGGAATGTGAAGCGGAGTAGCAGATCATGCTCCAGAAGATGATTAAAACGCACGACACGCACTCTGGTATTTGAAGACGTGAACATATTGTGTTTATTCAATGCAGACACAGAATATGAATATGTAGGTGAATATAGAAGAGAAAAAAAAGCAAGATTTATTTAAAAAATAAACAAAAAGGGGGGTTAAAAAGAAAAACATTCTAAAATATTCAGTGACAGCAAAAGAAAAACATGAAATAACCAATAGTTCTTTAAAAAAAAAAAAAGATCTAAAGGAACCATGACAGGAATAAAACACAGCCTTCGGATAGAACAATGTTTTATGGCTCCTACAGATCTTGGCAGCTTCAGGAGCCCATCAGCAGTCACCTTGAGAAAAAAACGACCACTTTCAGTGTTCTAACTAAAATTTCTCAACCAGAGGATTTTCTTTTTGTTTAATTTCTCCCTTTGCTATTCCAAAAATTTTAGAACCTGTCAAGATGCTATCCAGGAAGTATATTAGAAAGCAGGTCTTCAGCATGTCTTGACTTCCTGTTGAGCCACTTCAAGAAGGATCTGCAGCTGCTTGCTGCAATAATCTGGGAATGTTGGAGAAACAGTATTATGCACAGGTCAAGAAGTCCTCTCTTTCTTAAGATGTTTATCTTTCTGTCTTCCTAAAGAATGGTCTGACCCAGCTCAGAGTCTGATGACTTAATAATAGCCCAAGGTTTGTGTTTCACATACAGTGCTGTGAAGATGTTATGTATCACTTCCTGATTTCTTCTATTTATTTTTTTGGTCACACTTACATGTTTCCCATGTTTCTTCAAAAAATGTATAACCTTAGACAAAGATAACACCAATCAATCTAAAATGCAGTCTTTAAACGATCATTTTGTTTATTAAGGCAAAAATGTTATCCAAACCTTCCTGGTGTAAAAAAGTAGTTGTCCTAAAAACTGGTTGTACCACTCTTAGAAGCAAGAACTGCAATCAAGACTTTGCGAGAACTGACAATGAGTGTTTTACATCGCTGTGGAGGAATTTTGGCCCATTCGTCTTTGTTGAATAACATTTTTCCCTTAATAAATCAAATCTTTAATAAAAAGTGCATTACGTGGAAAACTGGAAAACTTTGTGGTTCCTGTGTTATCCACATTGTGGTCACTGTATTTTCAAAATAAAATATTTAAATAAATAATGAAACTATTGTTCTATTATTATTGCTTACACCTCTTATATTGGACTTATGGGTATTTGTAAGATAGCGATAGGAGTATAGAAGTTTCAGCACTACTACAAATAAAAGTGTCCGTGTTCTGCAAGGAGTTGATTTCAGTCATTAACTTCCTCATTCACAGGGATGTTTTGTAACAAAATGAGTATGCATATTGCATGATTTCACTTCCAGCTGATGGAAAACCACCTAGATTTTACATGCAAACAGGTGCTAGACTTCCCCATCAAAATAAGCTGGATAATACATTTTAAGGCAAAACTGCAGTGACGCAGTGTTTTCACAACAACCACGTGTTTCTGTGAGAGACCTAGTCCATCTTGCAGGACAGATGGACTAGGACTTCAAATGCTTTGCAGGTATGAGACTTACTGAAGATTCGCCTCCATGTGAGGGGCAAGCAAAAGTGGTAGACGGTCATGTAGTAAACTGGAACCCCAGACAATGTAACTACACAACTACATCCTGTGTTCCAAAGGTCCGAGTAAAGAGAGAGACCCACAATGAAGAAAGACACCGCTGTGAAGGTGACTGCGACGACCAACGGCACCTTAATGTTAATAACCACAATGTAGCAAATACATAAACAAACAAACCAATAAATTGTTCAGTTTAACATGTAGTAAGACAAAAAGGCTTTGCAATTCAGTACAATATGCTAACCTTAAAAGGTCTAGGGTGGAGGGGGAAACGATATCGATGGATGAGCATCCCCAAGGTTGCCAAGGCAATGAAGAACCAACGAGAAAAGGAGGTAAGGCTGATGAGCTGGGAAATATCTCCACTGATTAACATGATCACCATCAGTGGGTACTGGAGACACACAGAAAACAGAGTAACTCTTATGTCACTGTTACACACACAGTGATTAAATACACAGAATCAAGAATCATCTCATATCTTTTTAAGGTGAATTAAATATACAATTTAAATATATTTAATAAGATATTTACGATAAAATATTAGGACTTATTCTTGGTTGAAATTAAACATTCTACTTTGAGAGTATTTGACCAACGCCTTGTCTTCTGTACTTTATTTTCAAAGCGTTTTACTATTTATTTATGCAGATGACTGGTTTATAATGTGTGGACAGCTCTTTACCATTAACAGCAAAGCAGGTAAAGGTGTGTGTCTGCGGATATGGATTGTGGAAAAGATCTGTGGCCAGTAGCCCTCTCTGGCTCCAACGAAAAGCATCCTGCAAGACAGAGCTCTCACATGAGTTCAAAGCCACAGAAAAGATGGCAGTAATCATGTTTTACGAGGTCCGAATACCTTGGTGACACAAAGATGCCACCATTAAGTGTTCCGAGGCAAGATAAGGCCACAAGTACTGGAATTACAGAATCCAATCCCTGAAGAGCACAGGTGGCGAATGTCTGCGGGACAGAGAGCTTATCACACAAACTCTGTACACACATCGCTCTGATTTTTCTTTTTTAATACAGTACAGAATGTGATGTACCACAGCCACAGCATCAGACAGCAGCAGCTCAGTGGGAGCCAACATAGTGTAGTAGGCCACATTAACAAGCACATATAAGACTGTCACGGTCACCATAGACAAGATTATTGCCAGTGGGATGTTTCTGTTAAGACAGGATACAGACAGAGTGATATAAGAGCTGCAGCCAACTTGGTCTGAGAAACAAAAAATGAAGATGCAATCTACCTGTTTGGATTTTTGACCTCTTCTGTGACAAAGTTCAAATAAAACCTAAAGAAAAAAAAGGAACGACACAGGCATCTGATGTTTGTAACAGTATGATTTAATGGACTGTACAAAGCTAAGCAAAATAGTTTTGTATAAATTATGGTAAAAAAAAAAACCCAAACATGTTAAAATCGTTTGTATTTGTAGCAGCTCTCCTGATATAATATGTTTGCTTACCATCCACTGTAGGCATATAGGCCATTATAGATGGCGAGTGGCAGCCTGTCTAATGTTAATGATTCAAACTCAAAACCATTCTGGAAGTTTTCAGTCTTTCCTGCAAAAAGGATGATACAGAAAGAGATGACAACCAACTGAATGCATTGTAATTATTATTATTATTGTTATTGTTGTTGTTATTGTTATTGTTGTTGATTAGTGTATAAGTAGTAGCTACAAATCAATTCTGCAAAATTCTGGGTTGCTGGGCAAAAAGGACAAAAAACAATGCAAGAATTTGACAAATCTTATATTTTGTGCACAACTAACATGGAAAATATATTGATATGATCACACAGAGAAAATCCCAGTCTCTGAAAAGCAATGTCGTATTTTCAATTGAACATAAATTTGGGCCAAAGCCATGTTTTACCACTGTGCAAGAATGTTACATTATTCTGATTTTTTTTTTTTTTTTTGCAGAGTAGTGAAGCTCTGCACATTTCTACTTCTGAGAAACTCTCTAAAATGCTCTTCTTATATCCAGTCATATTGCTCATTTGTTGCTAGTTAACCTAATTAGTTCCTGAAGCTGGTTCTTTTTAGTATTTCTTACTTTTTTCAGCTTTTTGTTGCCCGGCATTTTTGAAAAATTTCACCACAGTCTAATTTGATTTGCAAATTATTGCATTCTGTTGTTATTTATATTTTATACAGTTTCCCTACTTTTTTTAGAAGTTGCCTTGTTGTGTTGTGTATTAACTTTACAAATATGACAACGTATTTTTTATTTTCTTTTTTGGGTGGATCTTTACAGTTAGGAAGTCTGTGTCTTCAGAAATAACAATTACGTGCTCCCACCTTTGACCAAAGCAATGATGCCAGGGATGATGATGAGGACTAAAGCAAACATCTTAATGAAAGTCAAAGAGACCTGGATGTGAGATGCCATGCGCACACTCCAGCAGTTGACTGCCACAAGAAATGCTACAGAGACACAAAGATAAACAACTGGCAAAATAAACTATTGTGGTTAGTATAATACAAACATGTAAAAAAAAAAAAAAAATATAGGACTGTGCAAAGTTGTTGAGTCATTCTTCATCTCTTTATATTTTGCAAGAAAAATGGGAAATAGATGAATGAGTAAAATTTCTGCACGCATGGAAATATGTGTTCTGTTTGGAAGTATATAGGCAAAACAAGTTTGTACAAAATTGCAGAAACTTGTTTTTACAATTTAAATGAGCTTTAAAGATTTGGTACTCCGACCTTTATTCTTGAACTCCCAAGTTCTCCAGGCTTCTTGAAGGACATTCAAAGATCTTCTTTACATGTTGGCTGCCTCCTTTTCTTTCCTCTGTCAAGCTGATTTTTGTCAAGTTCAGATCTGAGCTCTGATCTGAGTCCATGACTGATAGTTTCCAATTGTGTGTTTTTCTATTCACATATACTTTTACTACTTTGGCAGGGTATTTGGGATCATTTCAAGCTGAAAAATGAAAATATTCCCAGTCAGATACTTTCCAGCTGATATTGAAAGGTTTATAAAAGTCAGACGTTTCTTTTGTGTGTTCAGAATTCCAACAATTTTGACAAGATCCCCAAAATCACAGCATGAAATCAAGCCCCAAACCATGACAGAGCCTCCACTGTGTTTTACAGCTGGTTCAGACACTCACTGTTGTACCTCAATGATTTGAACAAAACAATATTCCATGAAATCAGACTTTCAGTTAGTTGTATTGTAGCATTCCTCAGTGGCTTTGTAACAGACACTCTTCCACTTAGACCATTTCTAATACGGCTTCTGTGAATTTTAGATGGATTACCTGAAGGCCTAGATGCATACCTCAGTCTCTACTGGATTTTTCCTATAACTTAAGGACATGTTCATTGGATTTTGTTCATCTGCTACAGATTCTTTTAACCACTTTTTCCCATTTCCTCAACATTTTAAAGGAAACACTGCACACTTGAGAGGTTTTTGGTTAATAACACTTTAGGAATCATTTTGTGAGAGCAAAAATACAATTTCTTGCCCTGTTATCTTTTCTGTTCTTCACAGAGTCAGCTAAAGAAATTAGAGAAAAATTATTACAAGACAGTCTATTTGGAAGCAAAACATAAAGAAATCAAGGTAGACTCAAGACTTTCGCACAATACTGAGAACTGAAAACCACTCACTCACTCCAAGGATGCTCACAAGTTTGATTAGCATTGTCGGAGCAGCACATGGTGCGAAGAATGGCTCCACCACATAACGACCGAAGGCCAAGGACACAAGGGAAGTCGCAGCTGGTCTGGATATTAAAAACATTTTCAGTGATTAAGCGCTGATTCTATTTTATAACTCTAGCCTGATAAATAATAATCTTACCTGATAAATAAGAACTCAACCCAGAGTCGGAGGAAAGCAGGAAGGGGTCCTAATGTCTCCAATAGATACGTGAAGTGACCCCCTGATTTTGTAAAGGTGGTGCCTAGTTCAGCATAGCACAGTGCCCCTGGAAGAAGAGAAAATAAGCACATGAAAATTTTTTGATTGTGATTTGACAATCAAAGGCCTTTCTGACAAAACCTTTAAAGAATTTGATCATCATCTTGGGCTCAAATCAGACTTTGTGGTTATTAGACAAATGTATACATTGAAGATACCTATTACATTTAATATTTCTATATGTTATTAAATATTTAAATTTAAATAAATATAGACTTAAGAGTCTATATTTATTTTTATTAAGTAAGCTTAATATGACCAGCTTAAGAGATTTATTTTTACATCTGTAATTATTGATGAACTTTGATAAACTTTGATAACCAAGCTTGCAACACGATGCTTCAAAATGTGTAGTTCACGAAACAATGAATTGACATCTTTAATTTACAGTTTATGGAATTTTAAGCTTGAGACATAAATACAGCTTTTAAAAGACAGAATACACTTTATTCAGATCTTACCAAACAAAGAGAGGACCCCACACAGTCCCCACACTAGAAGTGACAGCTCCACGCTGCCACTGTTCATTAGGACTCCCTTCGGTGCAATGAAGATCCCACTGCCCACCACCGTTCCCATGATGAAAGATACAGCAGGCAGCAGCCCAATCTCCCTCCGAAGGTGCACCAGCTCCTCGTCCATCTTCTTCTTGTTATCGTCCTCTTTATTCATCTGTGTGTGTCCCATTTGTCCGTGGCTGCAGGTCACAAAGTAAATGAGCTTGAAGCTATAACAGAAAGAAGCCTCGACCTACACGTTTTTCTGTGTTCACTCGCTCTTACTCCATTGTCCAGCCTGACTAGGGAACAAAGCCAGTACTCTTCCAAACTTCAGCCATTAAACATAACAGCTTTAAGCCTTGACGCTTTTGTGTGGAGCTTGTCAGAGTCCTTTTAGACTCAAAGAGAAAAGAGTTGGGATGTTGCAGAAACGGCTACATAGACTGCACATAGCTACTTTTAACAAGGTTCACACAAGCTGTCATTTTCCTCTGGTTTCACACAGTTTATGTGTTCTCATTTGTCTATACAGTGGGGCAAAAAAGTATTTAGTCAGCCACCGATTGTGCAAGTTCCCCCACCTAAAATGATGACAGAGGTCAGTAATTTGCACCAGAGGTACACTTCAACTGTGAGAGACAGAATGTGAAAAAAATCCATGAATTCACATGGTAGGATTTGTAAAGAATTTATTCGTAAATCAGGGTGGAAAATAAGTATTTGGTCACCTCAAACAAGGAAAATCTCTGGCTCTAGACGAAGGCCGGAGCGGTCCCTCGGACCCTCCAGCGGAGACAGGGGACGAAGGCCGGAGCGGTCCCTCGGACCCTCCAGCGGAGACACGAGATGAAGGCTGGACGGGCCCCTTGGACCCTCCAGCAGAAGCCATCACAAAGCCAGCAGGCATGGAGTCCTCTGGCAGACACGAAGGCAATGGGTGCTGTGCTGAGCACTGGCCCTGCTCAGACAGCACTGACACGGAGTTGTTCTCTGAGGGCTGCTTAATCTTCAGGGGTCCAGAATCAGCTGGGGACTGAGACCTAGCCTCTGGGGAAGCCCTGGAGTGCAGAACGGTGCCTGAAGCAGCTAAAGCGCGAGAAACTCCCTGACTGGACCTTAAATTTTCTCCCTGCAAAAAGTGAATGTGTGAGACCGCTATTACTGGAGCCAGAGCTACTGGAGCTACTGGGGCCTGCGCTACAGGCGGCACTGGAGCTACGGGGGCCTGCGCTACAGGCGGCACTGGAGCTACGGGGGCCTGCGCTACGGGTGGCACTGGAGGCTCTGGAAACTGAACTGAGGGTGACACTGGTGGCACTGGAGGCTGAACTGAGGGAGGCTGCGGGGCAGCTAACCGAGCTGAGGGAGGCTGCGGGGCAGCTAACCGAGCTGAGGGAGGCTGCGGGGCAGCTAACCGAGCTGAGGGAGGCTGCGGGGCAGCTAACCGAGCTGAGGGAGGCTGCGGGGCAGCTAACCGAGCTGAGGGAGGCTGCGGGGCAGGTGACACTGGGAGCTGAGCTACTGGAGACACAGGTGACACTGGTGTACTGGGGTGAAGGCAGCGAGGATGCAGTTTCTCTCTTAAGGGAGGATCGAATGATTTAGTGATAAATCTTGATGGGAAAGGATGCTGATGCTGAGAATACCAGGCAGCGAGGGCTTCCAGAGTGTAGCTGACCCTTCCTTGCCTGGACCGCCCATGCCAAACAGTTCGAAGCAAATCCTGGCCCTCAGAGCTGTTATTAGTTGTTTTAATCTGTTAATGTCCAAAAAACCAGCTGTGCAGAGGGTGGAAGACAAAAAGTTGTCGAAAAAGACCACCTGAATGAGTCTCTTGGGGGTGTCCTCAGCGTGGATTACGCCCCGGCAGTAATTCCACAACTGCGCGAGATACTGAGACTGTGAGTCCGCAGGATCCATTTGATGGTTGCGTCGTTCTGTCATGGTTGGCTGTGTGGCAGGCGGGCAAGCAGGAGTGGTGGATCCAAAATGCAGGACTCAGACACAGAAGTTCAACTTAAAGCGCAGCTTTATTGCTGGAAACCCTCTTACTAACTAAAGGCATCAAAAGACAAACAAAAACGCTGGTGGACTAAAACACTGAAGCAGAAACACTACTGGAACTGGAAACAAAACACTGGCAACACGGAGGCAAAACACACACAGCTTGTTGAGGGTACGACGCAACACTGACTCAGAGAAACACAGGGTCTAAATACACTGGGAAGTAACGAGGAGAATGAGACACAGAAGGAGAGCACAGCTGGGGGAAATTAGAACTGACGAGACAAGCAAAGCAGGACACATTCACATAAGTCACGGACCTTCAAAGTAAAACAGGAAGGATCACACAGAGACGCGAACTTGACACCGTGGAGACAGCAACTAAGAAACACAGAGACATAAACCATAAGGCAGAGGACTCTAAGAACCGATAGACACGGAGGGGAACTCAAACATGCAGACACAGACTTACAGAACAGAGGGGACACAGAGAAACGAGAAGGGCAAGGGATCGAAACTAGAAACCATAGAATAACTCACACCAAGTACAATAATACAAAAATCACAAAGAACTAAAACGCTGGGTCAGGAGACCCAGGACCCTGACAATTTTCTGTAATTAAGGATTTTTGATTGATTGACACTACGTACAAGAGCGCATTTTGATGTGATGTTTTTGTTTTATTGTTTTGTCCGTGAGCAGTTCTCACGGGTTGCCAAGACCAGAATAAACCCTGTTTTATAACTACATCGTGCGTACGTCAATCCTTGAGGGTGCTACAGTCAAGTTAAATAAATCTTTTTGAAGATTGTTTGACCAGTATGGGAGTAAAATGTTTACAATGTGAAGCTGCATTAGTGTAAACCTAAGCAATGTGGTTTATATCATCTCTGCAGACTGCATTTTTAAATATTAACATTATAAACTATCCACTTGAAAGGCTGCTAAAGCACTCTAATGCATTGTGAAACTATCTGTCTGAGCATATTAAGGGCTACATTAAGAATTTATTACCTTTGTGATTAAAGTGTAGTCAACATAATGTATTGTAAATGTTAAAGCCTACATGTCAGACACCTTGTCCCAACCATGATAAATGACACAGTGTATTTATAAAAGAACAAGCTATTGTGATTCAAGGACAAAACAAGATACAAAATAACAGAGAGATTAGTTGTAGATTTTACTGACATGAATCAGCACAGATGAGAGTCTTGCAATTTTAAAACCAGGAGCAACCACTACAAACATATGATCATTAATTTTTTAAGTCTAGACGGAAAGCAAGCAATTTATCTGATGTTGTTTTAACACTGGTAATGTCAAGGCAGGGTATGAATAAGCTTCTAGGGGCCTATATCTTGATATCTATATGTCCATAATTCCTTTTCTAAATGAAAAGGTTTGAGTGCACAGAAAAATAATTCATTAATTAATTAAGAAAAACAGCTAAAGTGTTTTAACAGCTTAACTGGGACAGGTGAGAGGCTACCATGCCACTATGTGTTAGTAGATAGAAATGGTAATAACTAGACTTTCTACAGGCGTCTGAAAAAGAAAGTCCACATTCACTGTTCCCATAGGAATGAAGAGGGTAAAGAACAAGCAGGTGCTACAAATCCCCTTGTTTAACTGATCACCAGTAAGTGTGACCACCTCCTGGAAAGTAGAAGTTTTGGCAGCTTGCAGGTCTAAAGCACTCAGGTGTGTGTTAACAAGATGCTGCAAGCATCCCAAGAGTGGACGTCCAAGTAAATTCAACTCAAGATCAGGCTGTGCAGTGTGCAAGGAAAAAACCTCTTTGTGCTAGAAAGAACATGGCAGCATGGTTAGAAAAGTTGTTTCCCCGAACAAACAACAAGACTTCTTTCCTTTGGACAGACAGAATTCAAGTGGAGATGTTTAGTCATAAAGTATAGCGCCAATTTGAGTGAAAACCAAATACAGCATATCAGCACAGACATCTCATAAAACCTTTCAAAGTGGTGGAGTGGTAATGGACTCGCTTTGAAGCCAGAGTAAAGACTTGAAGTCAAGACCGCCTAAACCAAGACCAAGACAATACCAAGACCAGAGGGTATCGAGACCAAGACAAGACCAAGACCAAGACGGACCGAGTCAAGACCAAGACAAAGTCGAGACGAGACCAAGACCGAGACAAAAAAGTCTTTAAATTGCAGCCACAGGTGTCAGGCATATTTATGTGTTTTGCGATGCACTCGCACAGCCCTCCTCACTGCTGTCTACAGTCTCACTCACTTACTGAGAGGACAAACGCACGCTCCACTTGACTATCGCGTCTCTCACCCTCTCTGTTTTTCACATAATGATATTATCCTATATCCTCGCATGTGATTGGCCACAAATGAGGATGGAGCATAGCTGAGCCACTGTGTGAGAGCTGAGCAGCGAAAGGAAATTAAGTGAGGAGCCGGCTCTCGCTCAATGGGAGTCGACTCTTCTGATTCACTACAAAGCACTCTCTAAGCACGGCTCTTAGAGCTGATGCTTTTGCGCATGACACATTATCGAACGTTACGTTGTGTGTCATGGATACTGTTGACTCCAAATCTCCCGACCACTATGTCGATCTGAGACAGCAAGACCGAGACAGCGAGACCAAGACAAGACTGAGGGATCCGAGACCAAGACAAGACCAAGACTAGGAGGAGGAGTTGGCCGTCCGACTGCGGTCTGGAGTGTGGGGCCTCCCTGCTGCTGCGGAGTCGGGGCGGTCTGCCTCCCCCCACCGCAGGGAAAAGGGTAACACCACCTGGGTCTGGGTGCAGTTCCCCCCCTCCAGGGGCAAGGGTACCTAGACCCGGGGCTTAGAGTACGCTTGGGGAGTGTGATCGTGTGTACAGCGTCTCTTTATGTCTGTCTCCACGTTGGTTGAGTGTGGAGTAAGTGTATATGAGAGCATGAGGGTGGGAATGGATGTTTGTATATGTGTGTGCCTGTATTTCTGTGTCTATATGTCAGGTTGGGTGTCAGGCGCCACCTCTCTGGGGACATCTTAGGCCCTCCAAGGTTTGGAGGCCTATCTCCCCCTACCACCACTTCCCCTGCCAGTGGCGGACTCCCTCAGACATCGGTGCGTTGGTGGTTCTTTGTGTCCGGGGTGGGCGTCCAGGTACACACCGGCTCACTCCTTGGCGGCCGCTTATCGGGGCCTGGAGCCTGGGGCTTGCTCGGGCCACTTCGGAGGTGGGGTGCCCCCGGCCTCTCGGCCTGGGGCTCGGTCACTCAGGCACGGCTGGCTGCCGGCGGAGCTCACGGGCGCGTCACTGCAACTCCCCCTGGCTTCTGCTCCGCGGCTGCTGAGTGAGCCCTCATCTGGGACTCTCCTCAGCTCTTTCTGGGACAGTGGCGCGGCTGCCCCTCTGTTGGTCTTCCTTGGTCTCTTGTGTTCTGGGGGCCTCTGGATGTCTGGAGTTTTGATCTCCTCCATACCTGCTTCATGCCCTGGAGGACGGGGCTGTGGCCCCCCCACACCCTCTAGCAGATCATTACATGAAGGAACCTTTTAAAAAACAAAAAACAAGCGCGTCCATGCTCACAGGTGTACACACGGGTGATCACACCCACAAACTACACCCTTTTTGGCTCCTACCTCAAAGCACACTGTGTTCTGTTGATCTTATGTGCTGCACAATAATGTTTAATATTTAGTATTTACTGTCATATTCCCATATATCATTGTGATGTTGTTTATTCTATTACTCTTGTTCTCTTCTGCTTGTTTTCTTTTTTCTTTCTCAGCAGGTGATCCAGGTGATTGATATATGCATTTTTTTTCTTTTCTTTTTCTGCTCACTCTGTTGGTTTTTGGTTTTTGCCCTTCTCCCCCGTCCCTCTTCTCAGCTGTTTCTCTTTCCCTCTTTCTTTCTCCCCTTCTTTCCCCCAGTCAAGTCTGTCCCGTATTCAGTAAGTGAAAATAAAATAAACAATAAAAGGTGAATCAAATGGACCATTATGGCAAGGCTGGGATGGTCAATTTGGTAAAGTAAATCCGTTGGGCATCTTTCTTTGCCTTTAGACAACAATTCTGATGGCAAAAGAGCCAAACGGGACAGGCAAAAAAAAAAAAAAAAAAAAAAAAAAAAAAAAAGACCAAGACCAAAGTCCGTCGAGACCAAGAAAAGACCAAGACCACATAAAAGTGGTCTCGAGACCGTTCTCGAGACATCCAATTTTACCAGAAGACTTGGGCACCTTGCAGTCAATACCAAAGTATTCTAGAGTCAAAGTGAGCCCATCTGTCCAACAGCTACATCTTGATTGAAATTGGGTTAGTGGAACAGCAATCTCAAGGACATGAGCAAGTCTACAACAGAATTGCTGAAAAACAAATAGTGCTGCAACACTCCAAAGACACCTGCGGATTAATGAACACCTCCAAATCTCAAAGAACTGAAGCCCAGTGACGTAAGGAAGAGTGGGCCGAAATTCCTCCATAATGTAAGAGACCGATAAAGTCAGAGAAAAAATGATTACTTCAAATTATTGCTGCTAAAGATGGTTGAACTGAATGATCGGGTGTAGGCTACTCAGTTTTTCACAGGATTTCACACAGCCCAGTAAAAGCTTTCTTTTTCACGGGACTGTATGTGCTGTTCACACTGTTTATGGATCACATAAAAAACAAAACATCAAGACGAGTGAGCATGATAATGAATAAAGAGTATGTATTTGCATCTTTGCCCACGTTTTTGATTCTTACAGATATTTCAACCACTTTTCATTGTCTTCATCATCAAACAAAGACGTCTGTGTCCACAAGGTCATGTGAGCTATACGTAAATTTTCTTTGATCAAATTATTGTTTGCGAGGTAGGATCAACACCCTTTCTTTTTCTTTCCATTAATAAATCCAATTTTTAATTAAGGAAACGCTTTTAATCTCTTTTAGAGAAACATTGTTCTGTTTTTTCTTTTTTCAGATCCTAGGCTTGAAACTATGGCTAGCAGATGATGTCAGCCTTTTCTGTGCTTCATCCAGTGGTTAAAGTGGGATTTGAGGAATGAGTCAAACCAGTATAATGCTAGTAAAAGGTGGAATTTGGAAAGAACATCAGTAGCTTAAATTAAAATTACTCACGATTACTACTTCTAGGAACCGGTCTTGTAAGTCAGCCATAGTTAAAGGTATCTGGATGCCTACTTTGATCCATTATATTATTTAAATTTCATTTTAATGGTTAAACTGACATATATAATAGCATTCATTGTTGTTCACATTCAAGCTTTAAATTTCTGGTCCTTACCTTTGAAGAGACTTTCCCATCTTCCTCTCCTGACCTCTTTCTCTTTTGTCTTCCTCCATCTCCATGTGTGAACTTATCTCACACTCACTTTTCTTTTCCTTCCAGGAAACTGCGACAACAGCAACTGCAGATAACGGTAGCTCGCAGACGCAGTATGTTGCAAATGTTACAGAACAGTTTGTTTCTTTGGCGATATTCGTTGAGCTATTTGAAATGTTGCATTTGAAATTAGACGCCACTTCAAGAAACATCTTGTCCCTGCATCTTCTTTGCATTGACACCACTCTGAGGACGTGTGCGGGTGACAACATGTGGTGACTTAGCTGCTTCCATGGCATCCACTGGAAGGGCCAGGGTGGACTACATGAAAAACAAGATTGACTTTACATTATTTTGTATTAAACGTCTTATAAGATTTAACAAAAAGTGCCGGAACGCCGTTCTGAATCGTTTGACCCATGCCTTTATCATACTGCATTCAGTGAGTGTTTAAAGTGTAAATGTGAGTCAGGCATGGTGGCTCAGCATGAACTGAAAACAGGGGTGGTCCGGCATTTTTCTCCTCCACCCGTTCTGTGTGTGTCCAAGGACTGTCTAGTTAATCCAACTGGGGAATTCCTATTGTGCAGTAGACCTTTGTAAGGCCCTGACTGCGCGGGAGGTTCAAGGTCCTAAACATTCAGATTCGGATGATTTGGGGTCATCATGCTTGCCTTTTGTGTGTGTGTGTGTGTGTGTGTGTGTGTGTGTGTGTGTGTGTGTGTGTGTGTGTGTGTGTGTGTGTGAGAGAGAGAGAGAGAGAGAGAGAGAGAGAGAGAGAGAGAGGTATTTGCATGTATTTGTGTAACAGCAGTGGCGAGATTTTAAACACCTGAGGTTTATGTGACTGCATTTTTGAGTCAAGGGCGCTGCTGTGGACTAGGCTACTCTCCTTGGTTCTGCTGCTGACTAAAGCACAAAGAGCATTCCTCGGCTGTGAATCAGAGGACAGAGGTCACCAACATTGCTTCAAATTAGCACCGAAACTCTCATTGAATCTTGGGCCGTGTTTGCACACATATATAAAGACACATAAAGCACCACTTCAATCCCCTTGAAAAAAGACCTCCCATTTATATGAGCATTTTCATCTAACCCAGTCTAAACCATGTGCCGTCTACTCACTGTTAGGTCTGGGAATTTCCAGCAAAAGTCAAACCCAATGACTCTGCTCTACCTCCCTGTTTTTTTGGGAAAAGTTAGAAGAAGAATGTAGAGGGCACTGGCTTCAGAAATACTACACCTTGTAGAGATGGTGCCTATTTCCCTGCACCACAGAGGTGTGTGCACCTGACTAAACGCCAGCAGGCTCTCCCCATGGCTTAAGTGGAGGAGATCTAAGTCAAAACTGAATAATATTGTTTTTGGTTCTTGTATGATCATGATTTAACCTCTTTGAAAAATAAACAGTGGTTCTTCAGATTTCAAAGAGTCTGGGTGGCTCGCGTGAAGGTTGAGGATATTCTAAGGCAATACTTTTTGAGGCAACTAAAACGCTGTCTACCAGACTTTTGATAGCCTGGAAAAAGTTTTGATAGAATTTTCTTAAAGGATTATATTCTGAATAAAATCACCAACAGTTTGGATTGTAAGTATTGTCGCGAAATCGATCAATGTAGAGCAGTGTCACAAACCACGGAGGCCCCAGAAAAGTGCAATCAAACGTTGAGTTTATTAACAGCCCGGAGAAAACATCAACATATGTTTTCTGACCAAAATACATGTTGTGGACACTTATAAAGCAGTGGGGTACATGCCCCCCCCATGGCATAAATGACAGATTAAAATAGGTTCCAGACATTAGTCACAGTTCGTACATCTTTAATAGCAGACATAGAACTTCTCTTTTCTATAACACCTTCCATACAAGGTAATAAACTTCAAGCCTTCAGGGTCTCTGAGGCTAATTATTGACTCTGATCATCTGTTACCAAGTAGAATAAAATATAGTAAGACACCAAATGAGTTAAGGCCTCAGGCCGGACACATTCCTAGATTATATGTATTATATGTACTGTAAGCATGCATTGCAGTAATCCTTCTATGTTCTAGTTTCCCTCAGCATGTATCACCTGGACAGTCACGCCAGTGAAGCTTAAGACCCTCAATGAACTGAACATCAACTCAAAATAAGCACAGATATGCAATGTGTATAAAATACTTCTAACCGTACTTGTAATAAAAGTTAACATAATGGAAGGATCCTCAAATGGACATCTTCAATAAACAACTGTAATGCAGTATCAATACTGTGAGAAATATTATTAGATGAAATAATGCTGTAAAGAATGTTATTAATGCAGTTATAATGATGCAGATTATATGGCAGCAATAAAATAATTTCTGTATCTCCACAGTATCCAAAATACACATATTAGATTAACCCTGACTCTAACACAAACTGGGATGAAGCTTATAGTTTATAAAACAGGATTTCAGCTACTCACTTCCAAGTACTTGAATGATGGAGGCTGTCTATATGTTATGACAACATATAGTCAACAATGTGTCTGAAAATATGAAAAAGCTGTAAACTGCAGTATAAATGAATGTAAGGTCAGTTTCTGGAGGAATTTCATGCTGCACTTGTTAGTAATGTAGCATAACTGTGCACAGTTTTCTGTCTTAAAGGAAAACCAGCAGCTCACCCTGTATAGATAAACATTATTGCAAAATCTGTTTTAGTGTTGCTGTTGATGATGCATTAATTAAAAGAGGCTTCGTCACATTGCAATATTCGTTTACGTGTGGCTGTGCAACAGTGGCACCTGCAGGTGAAGCTGTGGAAGTGCAGAAATAAATCTGTTAAACAATTGCTGTTAAGGATTTGAAATCAATCAGTTATCATGTGATTGAATTGCAGTTTTCCAGCTTTAATTAAAGAGATTTTTAGCATTAACTGTTCACACAACCCCCACTCCATTTTTAGAGGACTTAATAATAGGACTGTTTTAATACTTGGATCAATATCCTTTGCAGTCAGTGACTGCCTGACATCACCAAATGCTGTGGTTTCGCCCTTGAGATCTTCTGCTGGGAATTTACTGCAGCTGCTTTGACTTGCTGCTTTCAGACTTTCTGTTTTTGTCTCCAGCAACTGAAAAAAGGTCCATCGGCTATACTGTCTTAGTTTTTTGTCCATTCACACTGGTTTGCTGTATTCGGTTCAATCTGAGCAGAGTATAGCAGTTTACATGTCAGAATTTATCCTGCTGCTTCTATCAGCAGACACTCAATCAATAAACATTAGTGGCCATGAGTCACGTGACCATACTATCACATTGCCACCATCATGTTGTTTCTTTCCTCCAAGCTTTTCTTCCTATCATCCTAGTACAAGCAAATCTTAGGTTTGATCTATCCAAACAGTTTTTTTTTCTTTCTGGGAGCTGTGCAGACTCAGACTCTGACTCTGAGTGTAACCAGCGGTTTGCACCTTCTTGTAAAGCCATTTGTCTTTCCATTCATGAAGTTACCTCTTCATTGTAGACTATGTCATTGATACACCTGTTTTTGAGCATCCTTGGTTTGGTTAGATGTTGTGAAGTAATTTCTTTAACCCATGTTAACAATTCATGCACTTTAGTGGTCTTCTGTAGTCTTTGAGATTTTCTGCTATTGCTGAACTCCCTAGTGAGTTCTTTCTGTTTAAGGATCTACTAGATTGTTGCACTGACATTTCTTTGGGCCTCAAATTTAAAATTACAGTGAAAAGCTGTAAAATGCAAATTCAACACTCTGAATGAACTTCACATATTCTGTCTGTTTCTGTCTGCACGGTTGTCATGAAATAACAAGGGAAGGGGCCTCCCCTGGCTGTGAAACTGCTTGTCGGGCAGTTGTCTGATTAATTTTGAGGCTCTGAGAATGAGAGGCTGTATAAAATTGGCTGCAATTCCTGAACAGTCAATGTAAACTTTTTGTAAAACTCAAACATTGATTTAGTTAAATTGCACTGTGGTGGTGTACCAAGGCAAAACTACAAAAATGTAGTTATCCTTCAAACATTTGAAGGATAAATGACTTTTAAAAAAAGCTGCGGTCACACAGTGACCTCGTCACTGATTTATTTTACCAACCATGAGTGTCAGAGAGTAATAAACTCTTTACAGACGAATTGATCCGGCAGTATACGTACTTAAAATGCAGAGGTTATACGTGCATAGCAGAGCTGTGAAAAATTATTAAAACCAAATTGTTCAAAATCATATGCAAACCTCAAGTTTTGCTGAATTGTTTTTCCACCACCACCTCCAGGATAATAATGCCCAGTAAATTATAGCAAAATGTATGAATAGAATTCAATAAAGTAATGTGGCATCGTTATCAAAACTTTAGCGCTTTTATTCATTTTATAAACATTTAGGGGATGCAAATCAATTAATTAAAAAAAAAATCCACTGACCCTGCTAAAGATTATGCTGCAAAAAAGAGGGCAGATGGAGGTTGCAGTACAGTTACCACTCACACAAACTAAATGATCACACTCCAATACTACTGCACAGCCACCATAAACCATACTGCCCCAAGTGTGCAGACTGGCTGCCAGGAAACTCTGAAGAAGACAGAAGGGCCATGATTAAAAATCATTAGGACAAATCACCAAGAGAACAAACAACAGTTTAACAGTTAAAAGTGTAAAATAATCAGCACTTGACTAGAATTGGAAAGAGAGAAAAAAAAGAATTAGACTCAGACATAGCACAAATTTAACTACTATAAAAATATCATGGGTTTATACACATATGTGCTCAGTTAATACCAGAAATTCTTGTCCACACAGCCCAGGCAGCTGTAGGTTTATGATTCCTGAAGAACTGCTTTGAGATTAGTCTCTCTGTCTCAGCTATAGTAAAGCATCCAGCTTGAAAAAAAAATACTTGTGTTTAGCTTTTCCCTTAACCCACCAGCACCTACTGCAGCAAGTGCAAAAGCACCCGGGAGTGCCAAACCTTAAAATTCAACTCACCAGTGGTACAATTACTGTACACATGTAGCTTGGGACACTCTGTTCAATCAGCCTCCATCATTAAGGGAGACAAAGAGGCCTCATTACACCTGATGCATGACCTTTTGTACACCAACTATTCCCAGTATTTCTGAATCCCCTAGGGATGTAAGAAATATCGTCCATTACACATGGACTACAACATGTGACTGTTAAATGTGACTGCAACATACCATCCACTGTTACTTTTATCTTTACATGTATTTTTGCATATATTACCTCTAGTAA